AGGAGCCATACTCAAGGTGAAATTATAGCATTTGGAGAACATCATAACATAACAAGTGAATGTTTGCTAGAGATTTAGCCCTTCATCACTTGGGGTCAGTAGAGCCATCCTTGTCCCTTCGAATTTCCTATTCTTCACTTCATCGGATTCTACATTGATAGAATTGCGCACTAGTAGAGATACTTCAAAGGTGGCATTCAACCACAATTGTAACAGCCAGAAAGGGCTAGAAAGTAACAAGTTTCCTTTGGTTTTGATGGTTTTAAGGATGGTAACACCTTCCCCTAAAGACTCGTAAATGTTGGCCAAAATCATTTTGCTAAAACAAAGTTTGTGTTCAGCATGCAATTGATTCGCCATGGTCAGATACCGTTTCGCCACTTGGAGTGGTCTCGAGCAAAAAACACAACGAGATAGCCACAAAGCAAGAAAGGCTATATGCTCTTGATCATACACTTCATCAGAATTTTGGCCATGGTAATAAGCAATATAATTAGTAAAGACTGTCTTGCTGGTGTCGAAACCTATGGAGTCTTCAGCCATGAAATTTGGGTCATAAGTTTCACCGGTTGTCTTAAGCCCGGTGATGGCAGCAACGTCGAACTGGGTTGGAGTCATCACTTCACAGGAAAGATGAAAGTTAATATGGTTGCTATCCTAGAAATATGAAGAAGCCACTAACATAGATTGGAAATAACTAGGTTCTACCTTTGACAATTGGATCATGTCGAAGATTCCCGTCTCTTTCCAAACTTAGGATTTTGCTTTTTCTATTTTGCCTAACTAAGCTAGGTAATATGAGGGATCTTTAAACAAGGGGCATGATCTAAAAACCCTAAGTTGTTCATGTACTCTAAATTGATAGGTTCTTTTAAAACCTCAGTCGAAGGGGAACCCCGGTTATAAACTTTCAATTTCGCATCAGCCTCAATCTCCTCACTAGTCCTAGGTCTTTTTCCATTAGCTATGGGTTTGTAACAGTGATATACTGGGAAAAAGTCCTTAAGTTTAGTTGGATTAACAGAAGGATTTAATAAAGGTCCCAACATACCATGTATTTGGCCAGTAACAGAGATAGAGATCAATACCGGAGACTGATAAATTCTTCTTTTCTCCTCTTCAAGGGGAGGCTCAAGTAAATATTGTTGATTACCCACAACCGTTGGACCTAGAATCTTGTGAATCTTTGGTGTTTTTAGTAGAATCTTTAGAAGCATTTATGGAAGACACCATTGATGCAACTGGAGTTGAAGAAAATGGTTCTTATGGTTACGTGAAAGATGAAGATTTCAGGAGAAATGTGCTTTTGAAAGTTCAGAGAGTGGAAAAAGGGTTGAAAATGATGATGTTTGCTATTTATATAGGCTGAAGACGTGGGACGGTTTACTTCAAGCAGTAATGGCTGAAGGACATAGTGAGACACATGTCGTTTAGAGAAGCAAGTGATGAGACAATGGTAGTTAAGCTACCCCACGATCTCCTAGGGTCTAGGTGTGTGATGATTAAAAAGATTCACGCATGGGTTTGAAGAGACGTTTTGAAAAAGTTGTCATGATGACTGTGACGTCATAGCAGACAAAGAGATTCTGGCGTCAAAAGTGAATTTCAAAAAATACCCTCTTCTGCATTTAGTCGAAAATGACATTTTTGGGGGCAATTTGTTGGCTGGAAATTTTGACGCCAAGGTTTTGAGTTGAATATGATGAAGCAAAAAGAAACATTATTGAAATGTTCTTTGATTTTGACAGGATTGTTATTAGAAATTCCAGTCGAAATGATGGTCTTTTGTGAAAAGGATATGCTGAAGTGAAACTTAAGAATACTTTTAAGTTTGATTAGCATTTCGACGAAAGCTATATGAGGCTAACGTTCGACGAGAGGTTTTAATTTCAAATAAGAACAATAATTATTTTTTGTTCTTATCCGTTTCTTAAAAATGGCGCGTGGAAGGCTGTAGCGAAATGAAGGCATGCAGAGAGAAACATGTGATTTTCTGAAGAAATGATCATTAATGACAGTTATTTCGACGTAGTATAAATAAGAGTCTTACTGTATAGGATTTTTGTATGTTCAATTGTTGTACAATACTAAAATAATTCACTCAAAGTATCTAAGTTAATTGAGAAAAGAGTTCTCACTGAGAATGTACGTCTGAAATACCACATATTGTTTTAATAGAAAGTTATTTTCAATTTGTCCTTTATTCTTTCCTTGCAATTTTACTTTGAAGTCTCTTCATTGCACCTTTCTCTACAATTCTGCAAAATTTATCTTTTCAAAAACTTTAAACAATCTTTCACAAGCATGATCACTGTCGAAGTATTATTGATATTTTTAGAAATTGTTTAAATGATAGTTATGTCCTAAGGATTCACTGGTTGATCCTGCAAGTAAACCATTTTTTTGGAAGACCAGCGATTGTTTACCAATTTTCACGGTAAACAGTTACTCCATAAGAAAACCACTAGCACAAGAAGAATGCAATGTGATAGCTAATGCTTATTAAATCAAAAAAGTTTTGAGCCTTACAACTAGTTGGAGTACTTGAGAATAATATGACAATGGTCAGAAACATCCCTTAGGAAGGCCAATTGACAAGTCTCACTCAAGTGGTCCCATCACCCAGTAGACATCAGAATATGATCAATCTGACTAACTGTCCGACCCTTACGTTTAAACCAAGTGAAATTTCTCCTAAGGAGAGGTAATCTATAAGCTCTATTAGAGAGATAAAGTTTGAAAAACTCAAACATTTTAGTCTTCCTAAAACACTGGATGAATTTCCTACATCAACCCACTTTCCTGAAGAACAAATATAATTGAAATCACACAACACATACCACACACCACCTCAAAAACTAGCTTTTCTAGAAAAAGTTTGTTTGCATGGTTCTCTTATCAATAAAAGAACACCTAGAGTACACATTAATTACGAAACACACATAATTAGTCGGGTCTCACTCCAGACAAGTACTCAAGAGACTTGGACCAGAGAAGAAAAACAAAGGTCTACCTTTTAAACTACACCATAATAAAAAGAGGCCATCATTACTCCTTATAGATGAGCTAAAACTCTAATCACAAAATGAGTTACCCGAAAAGAATAGACTAGAGAAGTAGGGACTACACTTAGCTTAGTTTCTTGAATAACTATAACATCTAAGGAATTAGACCTAATAAGATACCTCACCTTTTTTCTATTTATTCTGCCCCGATGCCTCTACAATTAAAGGAGCAAATTAACATTGACGAGATCTTCATATTAATCGAACTTATTGTTGGAACATTATGTTAATATTCTAATATAGGGAGATGAATTTGAAAAAGTTTCTTAAGTCAAGTCCTACATTGTGTGTTAGTTGAAAAAAACTCCTCAGTCTCACATTGCTTAGGTGTGATATATTTCCTTTTTCACTTCATTATATAAAGAAATTCCTTGTTTCATTGCAAAGCACACCAAAAACTTATTTTGAGTTTTTCCTTCCTCACTCTCATAATTCCGCGTCTTTCAAATTGTCGAATCGCCAACTTCTCCCCCTTTCTTTCTACGCGTTGAATATTCCGAGTATTTTCTTGAATTCTCTTTAGAGAAGTATGTTAATTTCTCCTCGTTTGAGTTGAGAAATTATAAAGTATAATTTTTGGATTCTCTTTAGAAAATTATTCGAATTTCTCTTGTATGAGAAGTCATTTTGAGTGGTCAAATGATCATTATTGAATTCTCTTTGAAGAATTATTGAAATTTCTCTTGCTTAAGAGATTATTACGATTGGTTGTTATACCAGATACTACAAGTGATATTTATACCATATTTGAATGGTCTTTGTACCATCTAAGGGTGTATTTCTAGATCAATTATCTATCATGCAAGTAGTAATCGTACACTATAGAACTGAACTATTTTATCCTAGAGACAACGCGGTAGTTCGTCTGCTTTGCATAACTTTGGACAGTACTGCAAAACATCTTAAAGAAAGCGACTTAGTCCGCGACTCGACCCAATAATTTTTTTATAACTAATTTTCAAAACCGTGAATCAATGCCTATTTTTTAGACTTACACATTTTCTCTAGCTCCTGTAACTTTACTATTTCAATCTCATCATTCAACACAAAAGATCACTCTAACTATTTGTTCGATTTATAAGTTATCGCAGCCACAACCACATTTTGTTTCTACCACATCAAAAATCCAAACTAAAGATGTTATAAAGAGGAAAAGAAAAAGACAATAGGGGAGAATGACACGTTTAATAACTCGTATTAGTTGAATTAAATAAAAATAAACTGCACATATATAATTTATAAAACAAATTTTTTAAAGAAAAATCTAATTCAAACCCGAAATTTATCTAAATGTTGGAACAAGTATATATCTCATCCAACTTGTTTGAACTAACTTCGTCCTCCACACACCCAACTTACAGCTAGATTATGTAATCATTGATATGCATTTCTTTTCCTTAACTTAATTATTTGGCTAACTTCAATAATTGGCCATAATTTAAAATTAAATATAAAAAAAAACCTTAAAGATTGACATGCATATATTTCCTTAACCTTAGTTTTTACGAATTGATTAATGTTTTCATCTTCCTCAACATGTTCTTGTTTGTTTTTTAACAATTAAAACATCTCCTAGTTGTTAATTTCCATTGTCTTTTATATTTCTGTATTTTTCTGTAATATAAGATATTTTCTTCTCTGTAATCTAAATCTAACAAAAATCAGAGAAAAAAAATGTTCATTTTTCACCTCATAAAACCAACAAAACAAAAAGTGACGTGTCAAGAGACCCACGACGCCACGTGTCCATAACCGATGAAGATGAGGTTCCTTAACGTGTGGTCATCACATTCTACTATGTTGCTTCTTACGTTACTGTACGTTGTTACATTTCTCAAATCAACTAGATATTTTCACAAAATTACAAAGACATTTACCAATAAATAAACAAACATGCTAATGAATTTCAACACTTTTGTTTTCCAATAAAGTTTCATGAACATGGCTACAATCGTGAAGCTTCATGTTTTTCCAGAGTGTAATTTGAACCAGCACAAGCTTAGAAAAGGATTTGGAAGTAATTCTTCATCTGGGGTGTTTGGTTTTGGTCATAATTTTGATGGGTTATCTTTGAAAAAGTGTAGGGCTTTCAAGAGTGAAGATGGTGGTGATAAAAAGTTTAGAAATTTGAAGAAAAATGAAGTGAAACTTGAAAGGAAAAATGGGTTTTGGAGTTCTTTTAAAAATGTTTTGTTGGGGAATTCCATGATGTTAGATGATGAGTATCGTCAAGCTATTATTAGGGTTGATGAGGTTCTATCTAAGGTGAGTTTTTTTTGTTCTATTATTCTTGAATCTGTTTGGATAATAGTTTTATTAAGTGCTTATGTATAAGTTGTTTCTACAACAGATATAAAAGTTTAGGAAATAAGTTGAAAGTTGAAAACAATAAGTGCTTGTCTTGTCTAGATAAGCTCTAGATAAGTTCAATTAAGTGAATTCAAATAGCCCTTGTTGTGTCATTTTCTTTTTTATCATCCTATGTTGTATTGAATGTTGAATTTAACTATGTGTTTATTATCTATTTGTGAAAAACTAGATTGCTATTCAAATTGGAAGATATATTGTGACCATGATGAGCACCGGTGTCATCCTTGCGATTGGATTTCAGACGTCAGGTTAGTTAATTTTCTAGTTAAAAATGTGTATATGAAGTCCTCAAATCCAAGCTCAACTGGAAGAAACTGATATAGCTAGGTTGGACGCAATCACCAGGGTTCATTTTCGTCTACAAAAAAGCGTGTATATGAAAATATTTGCATAGTTATATGGATATGGAATTAATGTTTTTGGAAAATTTGTGAAGGTGGAGATAGTCAGATGGATGCAGTGATATGGTATAGTTGGCTTGGAGGAGTTATCATTGGGACAATGATAGGTGCTAATTGGGTGTTGGATGATTATTACCGCGAAGGTCCGCGAAATGTTGTCATAACTGGAAGGTACATCAACTCGATGCTATTATTCTAGAAAATCGTTTCCAACATTTTTTTGCTATTGAATTATCAACGCGCACTGACAATGCATACCCGAATAACTTCTTCCGTCCGACTTAACGGTGACACCTTACTTTTGAAGGGGGCACTCTGGCCTTCACTGACTCGGGCCATCCGAAACCTTTGATTGACCTTACCCCTGATAATGCATACTGATTAAAGTCTATTTTGATAACATCTAGAACTTTCTTTCATAACATTGTTTGTTTCATCTTTAAATTATTTGTGCAGTACAAGGGGATTAGGTAAAGCCTTGGCACGGGAGTTTCTTCTTTCGGGAGATCGAGTAATAGTTACATCTCGAAGGTGGTATTATAAGCTTTGACAACATTTTATAGAAATGAAATCAAAAAATATGTTTTGTTGCTCACACTCTTGAATTTTGTGAAGGCAGCCCCGAGTCGGTGCAAGCGACTGTCAAAGAGCTTGAGGAAAATCTAAAGGAAGGCATTGCCAATGCAGTTGGCTCATCTTTGACAAAGCTTTCTCAAGCAAAAGTAGTAGGCATTGCTTGTGATGTTTGCGAGACTAATGATGTTCAAAGATTGGCAAACTTTGCAGTTAGTGAGTTCGGTTATATTGACATTTGGGTATGTATATTAGTTCTTGCTGTTGAACATGGCATCTTATGTTGCACAGACACCGACACTAGACACAACACTAACACATGTTTGATACGTGACGTGCCGTTAATCTTAATCTAATAGTTAGTAATGTTTTTTATTCAAATCACTTGACAGATAAACAATGCTGGAACCAATAAAGGTTTTAGACCTTTGCTTCAATTTAGTGATGAAGATATTAAACAGGTATATTTGTTAATGAATAATTTCTTCTTAAAAGTTCGTAAAATTTGAATTTCTTAGGTTGTCTAAGAATGAGATATTCATCCTTAACTTGATATGTTCGCAACTCTGTAGATTGTCTCAACAAATTTGATCGGTTCTATCCTTTGTACCCGAGAAGCCATGCGTATTATGAGAAACCAAGCCAAGCCAGGCCACATATTTAATATGGACGGTGCAGGTTCCGGAGGTTCTAGCACTCCTCTTACAGCTGTGTGAGTAATTGTCTTGAGATCAGTAGTTTCTTATCTCATAGGAAGATGTTAATAATGCCACTGAGCTTTTTCATTTGATGTGTAGCTATGGTTCTACCAAGTGTGGCCTAAGGCAATTTCATGGATCACTATTGAAAGAGTGCAAGCGATCGAAAGTGGGTGTCCATACAGCATCTCCAGGCATGGTTCTCACAGAACTTCTTTTAAGGTAATTCTCTATTTGCAATCTTGTTTTGTTGTTTTGCATCAATCATTTTCCGAAATCTTCTCGTGTATGAAGTTTCAACTTCTTTTTCTGCCTGATCGTGCTCATAACGAATAGCATTCTTATGTTTGCGTTTGTGTTTATCTTGCAGTGGCTCGACTGTTCAAAACAAACAAATGTTTAACATTATATGTGAGCTTCCTGAAACTGTTGCTAGAACGCTAGTTCCAAGGATGCGAGTTGTTAAGGGAACAGGCAAGGCCATCAGTTACTTGACTCCTCCAAGAATCTTAATTGCCTTGGTCACTGCTTGGTTACGGCGAGGCCGCTGGTTTGATGATGAGGTATGTAATGGTTATTATTCTGAGGATCCTTTAAACATATTACAAAGTACCGACGTGTTTCCAACCTAAACATGGAGACACTGTTAACAATCTAAACACCCCCTTAAACCGGGCTCCGATAGCGGAAAGCTAATCGCAGGTGGCTCAACAGATCTTAAACCAAATTGTGACCCCATGTTTAGAAATGTGGTTGGACCGTACTTAACCATACAAAACCGGTTTATAAGATGACGATTGTTCCATTTATAAACACATGTTCATACCATATATTGGCCGGGTATAGGATTCTTAACAGTGTGCGTTCCATTGGTTTGAACTGGGTTACTGTTCTAACACACATATATTTCAGGGAAGAGCATTGTACTCAGCCGAAGCAGACCGACTTAGAAACTGGGCCGAAAATCGCGCACGGTTCTCCTTCACCGACGCAATGGAAATGTACACAGAAAACACTTGGTTATCAGTCTTCTCACTTTCAGTTGTTTGTGCTTTCATAATTCTTTCTAGCACTGCCAGCAATTTGCCTGGAACATAACAACATCTTGATGATGCAAATTTGAAAGTACAAAATGCTTATATTGGAGAGGCATGCAATTCATGTCTTAAACCATAAAACAAGGTGGATCATTTTTTCCAACATGTCCACCTAAGCTCCTTGAAACAGTTATGTTATGACATTTTTTGTAGTTGTTTTGTAATCATTTGTGGTATGTGTATTGTGCAAGTTCCTTGTATAGGCTTCTATGTAATCAAGAATTCTACATTGTGATGCTTATAGTCATAATACCAAGTTAGTTTTTTAAGCTTCACTTAAGTCTATGTCTTGTATGGTTTTGTTACTTAGTTTTATCTTAGATCTACTACAGGTTATGTAGCCTTACGAGTTCTCACATCAAAAGCTTTAAAAATTGCGAAGTCTGTCATCTTAGGAGCACTCGTCATGCCAAGATTTGTTACAGGAGTTGAGGTTATGATGTAGTTATTATAGATACCAATGATACTTTACCGCCTGAGGAGAAGGATAGAAGAAGAAAAAATGTAAGGATTATTCCATGACAGTACCGCAAATATCATACTTTGGAAACAATGACACAACTTCTAAAGCACAAATTATCATCAATAAGTAATTTATTATGAATTTGTCTCTAAATAATTACATCGTCATTCAATCCAAGAAGTGATCAATTTAATGGATGGTGGCTAGTGGCTACCGTAACGACGATCTTTCCAATGATGTTTGAAATACAGGATGATCCGCATTTCTTTCCATATAATACACGCTCTTATTCATCTCTCAAACTCTTGGCATATGGTTCTATCAAATGTTGTATATTCATTGGATATTCAAAAGGGCTTGTGCATTGGAAACAATGTACACAATTTAGGAAATTTACCTTCATGTACATACCAATTACATCCTCTCATATCCTGTAAGTTGAGCACCTACAGATTTTCACTTTTTCTCAAATGAAATGGGTCTACAATATTTGAACACTTTTTCTTTAATAATCAACAATATATTCTAAAAGGGACCAAGGAGATCTACAACCCAACAAAAATACAAGCTACACAAAAGCATCACTTAGGATGACAAGAAACAATATACAACAACAAAAATAAAATCCACCCTTAAAAAAAATCAGAAGTTCTTTTGCACCATTGATAAGAGTTGCATTTAACTTTGTTCCGGTATCATATATTCAACCACCACGAAGAAGTTCCTGTATCATATATTCAATCACCACGAAGAAATATGAGTAATTCTATGAAAAATTTCTTTTGGGACAACAATACCATCGTTATAAATCACTTGATTCCTAGTCGACCAAATGTTCCAACATGTAGCCAACCAAATTAGAAATGCAGAATGTTTTGACAAAGAGTCATTAAAGGATGTCAACAGATACTCAACACAGTTCGAAGCAAACCGTACCTCACAACCCAACCAATTCTCCACTTCTTGCCAAACCAATTTAGATTTAGGACACAACAGAAAGAGATGGTCTAAATCTTCAGCCGCATGGAAACAAAGGACCCATACCTTGTCGTGCTCGTTAGATATGGCACCTCCGTACGCCAAATTTGATCACGTCAGTAACCGGTATAACATGAGCCTCAAGCCAAATATTTTAACCTTTAATGAAATCTTTGATCTCCACAAAATGTTCATGGCCATGATCACATTAGGCTCCAATGCAGAATTTTCCCCAGCTCTTACCAAGGTTGAGTAACAATAGTTGACAATAAAAAAATTCGACTTTCCAGCAGCCCATCCAACATAATCATCACTGTCACGGGTGGACAACACCTCATCCAGCAACAAAAGCAAACTTTTAAATTCCTAGTCTAAAGGAGCAGCCTGCTCCAGATTATGCTCGCGCAAATCCCACTTCCAACGATCTCCCTCTCACCTTCCACAGTCTTTCACAACCGCAAATTTGAGGACCGAAGCTTCAAACAGGTTTGGAAATAAGCTCTTAAGAGAGAGTCTGCCTATCCACTTAGAAAGTCAAAAAGAAGAGCAGCCCTCATCACCCAATTTCCATGACAGTTGGTTGAAGAAACCTTCCTCTTGGCATGAGTCTCCCAACCCCATTAAATCTTTCCACCAAATAGATTCCATACTAGCATTTACGTGGACATTTTTTTGTGAGAATTCGACGCCTCAAATTACCGTATTTAGCTTCAAGGATTCCAATCCACAATGCGTTTGGATCGTGTAAGAATCTCCATAGTCATTTTGTCAACGAAGCTCTACTAAAGTTAGCTACATCTATGACTCCCAATCCACCCAAATCCTTAGGCTTGCAAACCAAATACCATCTCACCCACGACATCACATTTTTCTCAACCGACCCAGCCCACAAGAATTTTCTTTGAATACACTGAATCTCCTTTAAAACCTTAATCGACGCCTTATAGAACGATAGATGACGTATAGCCATATTGGTGAGTACCGAGTTTATCAACGTCATCCTTAAAAGAAGCCTCCCTTTCCAAGAAGATAACTAAGCCTTGATGCAATCAATGATTGGTTTCCAAAATGAGACCCTTCTATGTTTCCCACCAATAGTCAATCCAAGAAATTTGAAAGGTAGTTTTCAAATTTTGCAGGTCAAGAATTGAGATGCAGCCTCCAAGAATGATTCGTCCACGCCAACTCCAAACAAGTTGCTTTTCCATAAATTTATCTTCAAACCAAAGATTAGTTCGAATCCTCTTAGAATGGATTTGATTCCCCATAAATTCGACCAAGAGTTGTCACACGTAATAATCGTGTCGTCAGCAAATTGTAAAATACTAATCGAAGTATCTTCATTCAAAACCACACCTCAGAGAAAATTTCTATAAACAACCCTCTTAACCAAAAGCGCCAAACATTCCACTACTAAAGTAAGCAGAAACGGAGACAAAGGGTCTCCTTGTCGTAGGCCTCCTCTCGCCTTAAAGTCGTCGGTTGTACTTCCATTAACCAGAACAGGTAGGTAAGGATTAAGAATCTTACCTCTCATCCAATTGATCCATTTTTCACCGAAATTCATAGCCTCTAGCACCTTAATAAAAAATCTCCAATCAACACGGTCGTAGGCTTCAGCGAAATCCATCTAGAGTAATAAGCAACTCTTCTACTTTCTAATTTTATAATAAAGCAATTCGTTCGCAACTACAAGACCATCTAGGATTTGATGCCCAAGAATGAAAGCAGTTTGCGAGGAGGAGACTAGCTTTCCAATTACCGATCTCAATCTTGTAGCCAGCATCTTCGCCACCACTTTGTAAATGCTGCCAATTAAGCTGATAAGTCTGAATTCATCCAAGTTTTATGAGTTATCTCTTTTAGGAATAAGAGCAATGAAGGAGGAACACATTGCTTTTGGCAAGGTAGTAGTACTATGGAACTCTTGGATACAGTTAACAACATCACTACCAATCACACCCCAACATTTCTTAAGGAAGGCCATGTTAAAACCTTCGGGCCCCGAACTTTTATTTCCATCGCAGCTATTGATAGTCTCAAGGATTTCCTCACTAGTGAAAGGTTCATGAAGTCTTACATTATTAGATTGGGAAAGCTTTGCTAAATACGATAAATCCACAGCAGGTCTACGCACTTCATAGCATTGAAATTTTGCTGCAAAATGATTTTTGATCACCTGTTTAATGATTGAGACGTCCTCCACAACATCATGGCCGATGTTATTAGCTGAGACAACATTCAACCTCGATATGGAGTTTATCAATGCATAGAAGTGAAGGTGAGAAAATACTTAAAAAGGAGGTTGAATAAGTATGAAGATAAAAATTTAAAAGTAAAAACTCAAGTATTTTTATTCTGGTTCGTTGAACTCAACTATTTCAGTCCACCCTACCTAGAGTGATTTGTCTTTCTCAAACAAGAACTTAATCCACTATTTAATCAACTGATTACAATAGTAAGCACTAAGAACAACTGTTCAAAGTCTTCTCAAGAACTACTGATCCCAACTGGATCTTCTTAAGGAACTATTACAATAAAATGTAAGATTGATACAAGTGTATGAATGCTTCTAACAAGCTTTATCACAACAGTGATTTTTCACTTAATGTTAAGAACAAAAGAATAAACTCAGCAATAAGAATATTTTATGAGAGCTTGTAAGATTTTTTTTCCAGATTCGTTGGTTCTATGTCACTACTGAAGAAGATGATGAAGACTTGCTTTTATATGCACAGTAGTCCACAAAGTCTTGACATTAGAGGCTGTGTACTGAAAAGGCCTGAACCTTTTTGTCTTTACATCACATGACCTTTCCTGGAAGTAGAATGCACAGAGAAATGCTTTTGGTCTGTGTTTTAGTGTCAAGCATGAAAGAGGAAAGAGTCGTTGAGCTAAATCAAAGGATATTACTTTGAATTCTTCTTCAATAATTATTTCTTTTCAGCAGGGTAACCATCAGATCTTTGCATGATCAGAGTCTTGGATTCCCATCAGATTTTGCTGAATCAAAGTAAGGCAGCAAGTGTGCTTTAGCGTGTAGTTCTATCAGAGCAGAGTTTTATGAATCAGATCCTCAGTACATGCAGCGTGTAGTACTCTCAGAGTCTTCTGAAAAACTGAGCTTCTTAACTCTCATACAAAGTTCTTTAATGCTTCAGAGTCTTCAGATCTTATTAGAGTCTTCTGCTTCAGATTCTTCTGCAGCTTCTGCTTCGGATTCTTCTGTAGCTTCTGCTTCAGATTCTTCTGCAGACAGCGCTCAGATTCTTCTATAAGATGATTCTGACTCTTCAGAGCCTTCCATAGTTCTATGTTCAGATTAATTTGCTCTTGGATGTATATATACTTTAATTATCTGCAGCAAATATTCACGAACAAATTTTAGAGTATATAATTCTTTAATACAAAATTTCATAAGAGTTATCATCAAAACATAGAGATATTACTAAGAAACAATCTGTGTTCTTACAATCTCCCCCTTTTTGATGATGACAAAACATGAGAAATTTTGTTCAATAATAAAAAATAATAATTATAACTCCCCCTGGGATTAAGAA